AAAAAAAAAAAAAAAAAAAAAAAAAAAAAAAAAAAAAAAAAAAAAAGGAAGTAATCAGATTTATTTTTTCTCACCCCATCCAATCATAGCATAACGTTTGATGGATGTTTTCATTTCTAAGGGCTTGCGGCAGATCAGCTCGTACAAAAACCATCCCTCCATCAGCAACCAAAAAAATGTTGCTGTTTCGAAGTATCGATTCAGGCCAGCAATAATTATGTAAGACAAATGTGCACTCAAGCGCGTGAACTAATCAGACAAAAGGGGGAAAAAAAAACATCAAATTTATTGATAAACGCGCGTGGGGTCGTACATGGGCCATTTCACGAAAATTTAAGTATACGCAATACAAGTACCATTTGTTCGGCGATCCGTACAAAATCGGCAGCCAATTTTGGTGCAATATCGATGTCCAAGGCACTCAACACTTGCAGGTACATGTGGCCATCGATGATTTGAGTGTCGAAAAGAAAACTGTGCAAGAGCCACATAACGGCCTGCAGCACAACGGCACTGAGCGTGTTCATGTGCAGCCTCGTGCGAGCATTCCTCAGTTTCCTGAGAATATAAATTCAGTTGAACTCGATTAGTTTGGTTGTATGTGTAATATTTAGCGTATACCTGAACAGCACGAATACGGTGAGGGCGATGACCCCTACCAGTACCGACTGAAAGTAGCTGATCTGACTCAGCGAAAGGATTTTGTACTCCCATGTCTGTGTCAACAGTACAGATGGTGAATGGTAAAAAAAAAAAAAAAATTCACAATAGTCAAAGGCGATGTGCAACTTAACTTGTCCTTCAGCTCGAGGTACCTGTTGTGCGCGATTTTTAGGAAGAGGTCCGAGTAGGCGTCCGAGTCTGGGCAGCGAGAATAATCGCCGACCGACCAAACGGGGCGGTTGCAGCTGTACCTCAGAATGCAAGTTCTTTGGGCCGTTTGGTTGGGAAATTCTTGCTTCGGACACGGCAGTTCTACGGTCTCGTTCACAGAAACCGAGGGCCAGATCAGGTGGGTGTCGAACAGAGGCTCGCACCGTTGTTGCAATTTTACGTCTAACCGAGGGAAAAACAAATTTATTTATTTATTTATTTATTTATATAGGGTTCAACCTTTTTTTTTCATTTCGGTTGAATCTCGATAAATTACAAACACATTTTTGCGATGGTAAAAATCTCGATTATTGGCCTCGTAACGGATTGTTTGAACGTTACTGCGTAAATTTCTTCCGATACAAGACAACTTTCACCTCGCGAAAAACTCGAAAAATTTGACAATCTATTGTTTCGCGCGTAGGCTTATAAGAGCAGAGTGACGCATGCATTGAACGTATGTAGCGTGAAATTAAATGGAAAAATTACACCCTTGATGATGAGGGGTATGATTACTCGATTTGGTAGTCGTGTATCAAAACAGACCCAAGTAATTTTATCCTTTGACGATAATTTCGAAAATTAATTCACATTGTATGTACAGCGATGGGTCGTAATGAGTAAATATTAACATGCGAATAAAAAGCACTTAAAATATTGGTTTCGTAATTATTACGTGTACATTGTACATATCATTTTCATTTTGTTTCGTGAATTTAATTAATTTAATAAAAAGAGGTACATTTGTAGGATGTGAAAAAAATGGTCGTGGTCTAAAAATAAAAATTACTGTAGAAGGGTGGAAATTATATATTTACAAGTAATTAATTTCTTGCAAAAAAGGAAGTACTAAATTTTAATATTCTACTGTGACATTCTGGTAAATTGTCTCAAGTTAAAATACCTTCCAATACAAATTATAATGTATACAGTATGAGTTTTTGTGAAAAATAAAACATAATAATTGTATGTGCAAACGCTAGCATAAGTATGCATGTATTAAGATTGGGCCTTAGAAAGGTTTCAGTCCTATATCATATAATCATAACGACATGCGCCACATTAACTGAAGAATCTGTTATACGATAAATTAATAACCTTTGCTCTTCCATATGTACATGATTACAGACAATAGAGTAAATACAATATATTATACCACCGATCGAATTTTAAGTATTGCGCCAAAATATAGCCCAGCAGTGGTATGTACAAGATTACCTAATCCAGCTTCACTTAAATGAGAAAAAAAAATTTACGTTTAACCTAACAACGCAACATTACCGATTTTAAGTTATTTGCATGGAAATAATAACGATATAAGAAAAAATTGAAAACTCGTCATTTGCCAGATCTTCCAAAGAAATACGCGCATGTGAATTGGATACAGTAACGATAAGACGTTATAAACTTTACGAGTTCAGGTTGACGTCAATAAATCGATTGTTCGACGAGATGTTTAAAAGCAACGAGCTGGAAATAAAATAGAGTTTGATCAACAGCTTGGAATTATAACCTATATAGTTTTTATCTATATGTTGGCGTGACCAAAATAAGAAAATATAGCTCAAACTTCGTGTTCGTTCAGCAATGAACTAGATAATAAACAACGAGTGGAAATTAAAAAAAAAAAAAATCATGTCGGCCCACAGAGTAGCCCAAGAAACCGGTAATCAAGACGCCAACGGGTATAAAGAAAAAAAAAAATCCCTTCTCGGCGTATTTCTACATGTACAATGAAAAACGTCCTCCCCCACACCCACCAGTCCACCAGAGCTCACCGAGGACGATCTGACCTGTTGCCACCGCTGCACCTGCTGCAGCCCCAAACTCCGGGAGATCCTCGTAACGGATCCCCTGACCTGTTGCCACCGGTTCACCTACGCCCAAGTCTTCTGGCTGATCACCATAACCGGTCACCTCCTCATGGGCTACGCCATACTCTACCTGTACCTGGGCGATCCCATGCTCCCGGGCAACCAGCTCTTCGGGCTATTCGGCCTCATCGTATTCGCCTACTTCCTGGGCTGGAGCCTCGCCCACCTGCCTTACCTCCACCTACCGCCCGTCTTCGGCATGCTCCTCGCCGGCATCATCCTCCGCAACTGCGACTTGTAGGTATACACAAGTATATGCTTTGTTCGTTATAACATACATGTATAATGTATACACATATGTCATAAGGTACGACATTCGCGAGGAGCTCGGCGGTACTCTGGCCTCGAAGATACGCAACTTCGCGACGACCTTCGTCATGCTGCGCGCCGGTCTTCAGCTAACCTCTACGGCCCTGCGCGAGCACCCTTTCTCCGTCCTCAATCTCGCCGTCGTCCCCTGCACCATGGAGATGCTGACCGTGGCTCTCTGTTGCTACGCGATCCTTGGCTACCCGGTCCTTTGGGCCTTCCTCGCTGGGTAAGGGCTAGACCTTTTTTTTTTTTTCTATGGAGCACCTTTCTATTCTCGGGCTCGTTGTATTCGCTTCCTTTCGCAATATATACGGGACAAGAGTCCAATGCTATACTTCCCTTTAATTGTATTTAAAAATTAAACTCCGACCTTTTCTTTTCGAAATAGTATACGCGCGGAGGATATGTGAACCAGTCGAATGTGTGTTTGTGTTTTTCAAAGCCTTTGGTGGTTAATTGCCTTTGCAGGAGCATAATCGCCTGCATATCCCCGGTGGTGACCATCAATTGCATCGTTGCCCTGGCCGAGCGTGGCTACGGCGAGGACAAGGAGATGGCGAGTCTACTCTTCACCGCGGCCTCGATCGACGACGTCCACATCGTCTCCGTCTACTCGATTTGCTTCGGTTTCATCTTCACAAACGGTGCAAACTGATATAGGCAAACGGTTGTTTTTTTTTTCCCCCCTTGACAGTGTATATAATGTGGTTCGTTTCGGGCAGGTAAAAAACAAGAGCAGTGGTGGGCTCATCTGCACGGAGGCATACGGGACTTGATCATCGGCAGCTTCGTCGGGGCCACCTTGGGCCTTTTCTTCGTTTTCTTCCCCCACAGATCGCAAGTTAGTTCCTTTCCGAGTTTCATTTTCAAAAGTGTAAACGCCATCGTTGCCGATTACTTTGCTCTAAAGTAAAGTAAAGAGCTGAAACCTGCATTGAAAGTAAAATACGTTAACGTATCGATTACTTTACAGTTTTTTTGCATTTATTGGCTTGCTAAAAGTATACTCTGAGTGCCCTGTGTCTTTAATTTTTCGATTGGAAAATTTAATGAGCATTCATGGTGAATCCACACCTTTGTTTTACAACTCACTCGATGCAAGTGAATTGTGCAAAACTTCCATTTAAAAAGATTTGAAGCATCAATTACTTTAAAATTAATCCAAGTATAGTTGGACCCCGACGAAAACTAATCCGTTCATCCTCGTAGAAGTACTCCCTGTTGTATCGAGTGTGCGGTTTGGTACTGGGATCGCTCATGTGCACGTCGGCCACGACAAAGGTTTCGATAACGGGCGGTGGCTTTCTAGCCACCATCATCATGTCCCTGATAGCGACCACGGGCTGGCGTGTGCTTACCGTACCATTTGATGTAAGTGACTTGAAACTTTGAGGGTTTTTTTTTTCCCTACCGACTCAGTCAAAAATTAGCAGCTATTATTTTAACTAGATAAATTACAGCTGTATTTATACAGCTATACTAAGCTACTATAATGGCTATAATTGATAACAAAGTAGCTATAATCATGTGCAAGTAATAAATATTAAAAGTAGCTGTTTGCAGCTATAAATTTCACGCGAATTTCAAACAACAAAATTTATTTAATAACCTTTTTTTGTAAGGTATATCAGCCAAAGTAGACGCCATTCTCCGTGTGATAACACCAAAACTCAGGGGGTTTGAGTATTTTTTAACAATAAACAAACAAAAAACAGGTTTGCTGTTTAAATAAATGACTGATGTAGTCTTAAGACTATAATTTTTGACATTACTGAAGTGATTTTCGCGTGTCGCAGTGTTCTTCTTGTAAGTTCTACCAATAATAAACACCAAAATTAACTGTTAAGTCTTTTTCAAGGAAATAAAGTAATATTTGTTTCGTGTGGTTTATTTTAATTTTGTTGTTTTCTAATTTCGTGTTGAAAAAAATGAAGCACAATGAAATATCAACCTATTGTAGAGGAAAAAACACCGTTGGCGTATGTAACGCAACCTTACCCAAGCGACTTGAACAGTATACGTGCGTATAATAAACTAAATGAGGATAATTTAATAAAAATACCTTAATAAACCTGTAATTAAATTACGGTAATGCTGTACTCTTTCTAAAGCAACAAACAATCATGTTTATATTACGTCAAGTTTCTGTAAACTTTACGCGCCATTATGTGGGAAAATTTTTTGTCTCAAATTTATTTCACTTGGTAAAGTCAAATATCCTACAATACATTTTAAATACAACAAATCGCTACATGCTGGATAATAATGTTGTTGATAAGAATAATAGCCAATAACCGACTCACTGACAAAAAAACTTTCAATTCCTTACAGTATAAAAAACATATGGTGTCCAAAATATAAATAGGCTTGTAAATCAACAGCTTAAATGCTACTGACATTTGGAAATAAATGGACATTTTCTGAATATGGACCCCTGATTTAAAAAAAAATTTTTTTTTTCTCAATTTTTTAAAGACATCTTCATTAAAAAATAATCATTAAAGATACTGTTACGTAGGATTATCGTTACTAGGGTGAGTCAGTATNTTGTGTATGTAAGAGAAAGAGAGAATGGGTTCTCATAGAGTTATAAACGCGAGATTGAAGTGACTATATACACAGCGAGTATGCGTGAATGAAAACATAAAGAAGTGCCGCTAATTGTTTTCTTTTTTTCTCTTCCTGCCCGTTACTCTAGCCATTAGGTGTATAGTACATAGGTATAATATAAGTATAGTGATGTATAATTTTAAGATCTATATCAACAATTTCTTCTTTTCTTTAATATATATAATACTTTTTATACATCTTACTTGATGTTTGAAATATTTGATTTAATTATTATAGTAGAAAAAAGGACCCTCGTGTTATATATATTTGTCTTTTGTATATTTAAGTAATAAGAAATGAAAAAAAAAAACTAGTATATAAAAAAATTGTTATATATTGTAATTAAATGTGTATTTGAGTATATATATTCAATAATTAGTGAGTAAGTATTATTAAATTAGAAAACAAAGACTAAAGTTAAAATTTTATTGATTACAAAAATCGTCCTTTTTCGACTTTCAGAATCGATTTAATATATTATATCAATTATTTGATTGTATTTGTACATGTATATATTTTGTATATTCGTATTCGTGCACATCTGTATAAAATTGTACTACCTTAAAAAACTTACTGCGTTTGAAATAAATATAAGAGATTATTCTAAACACATAAAGCAAATTGTCGTTATTGCGTGCATTTTTTTTCCTCCCTCAACTTCAATTTTCTGCAACCTAATAAATTCCTACCTTTTTAAAATATCATGGTATCAATCTCAATGTATCAAGTAACTGTTTTTTAACGTATTTAAAATTTCCTGACAACCGACGGCTGAGCCAATTTTCTAACATTGACGTTTTATCTATAGTTTTTTCAAAACGAGATATCACTTATTTTAAGAAATTAAAAATGAATTGCATACGACTACACGAATTGGAGCTTATCTCACCTACACAAGTATTCCAAGTTACCGTAAAATCAAAAAAATTAAAAATTCGAGGAACTAAACCAATGTTCATTAAAATATGTGAGGATGATTATCGATAGACCTGAACCAATGAGCTTTTTAATTTTTTATATACACTGGCTAGCCATATATTCACGACCCCCTTTACAGTAGACTGTCACTGCATATGTGCAAAATAACATACAGAATAACATTCATTATTGTTTCGTAGGGTCGCGATTGTCTTGCCGGGTATTTAGAGTGCGAAGGTATTTATTTACCAATGTTTTAATTACGATTAGATGTATAAATTGATTTTGTACAAAATATACATGCTCGCAGTAAAAATTTTTACATAAAACCTTTTTATTTGCATAACTTGCGTTTATTTCTCTTTGTTGCATATCTTGGATTGCCCGATAACATGGGCGACACTTTCTGAATCCTTGCCTTAACAATCTCCTACAAGTAGCTGTAGCGTAATACAAACATCTCTACAGTTTATATACAAGTGTCACACAAAATGTATGACATGTGTTGCACCAAAAAAAGAAAATTTTTACCGTTTTTGTATTTTGATTTCAGAACTTTTCGAGGCTACAGATTCATTAGGAAGAATACTATTCATTGCCAGTGTATAAAGGCTTTAGAAATTCTTTACAAAATATTAACTCAACGCATCAAACTTAGCTTAACTTTCCATTTTGTTAAAAGGTATTTATTTTTATGGAGTAGAAATATTCTGGGCCAAGTACACTGAGATCAAATTAGACCCCAGTCTTTAAATATATTAATATCAGACGGTATGCAGCCAAAAATGAGAAGTAACTACAGTGTGTGTGTGTGGGTGTGGGTGCGCGTGTGTGTGGCTTTAGATCCACCAGTATATTAGCTTAAAATACTTATATTTTAGTAACAGTCCTTAAAACTGATATAGGGGCAAAGAGACTTCTTTAAGTTTGTATACATGTATACAAAAAAAATTTTTTCAAATAACTAAATTAATCAATTACTCTATGCTGTAAACAAATGTGACAAAAATATTCTTTATAAAGTTAGTGATTATTATTTTCACGATATAGTACTGTGCCTGTGAAATTTTTAGTATGTACATTCTTTAATCAGTAAACAAATTAATATTATCAAACATAAAGAAAAGAAAGAAAATAAAATTAAAAATTATATCAATTATGAAAATTGTCCTTTTTTTACTTTTAGAATTGGAAACATGTATTCAAAAGATTATTTTATTGTATTTGTACGTGTGCATACACTATTAGTAAGATGTATATTCAATTTAATCTAATAAAGGTTAAACAACTTAACCGTACGGTCTTTATTTTCGCACATAGCGCCAACTTGTCAAAAAAAGTTATCCACACCTAATACATATTTTAGACTCATGATCACTTTTCAATTGAAACAAATTCCGAAAATAAAATGAAATTTATAAAAAAACCATACTTTTTGTGTTCTCTCCAGTTTAAAAAAAAAAGGTGTTTATGTGTTTGTAAGGTAACGAAGGTCTTGACCATTACAAGCGTTTTTCGGTCCACAGGATGTAATTTAATTTTTTGTATCTTCAATGATTATTTTTGTCATGAAAATGTCTTCAAAAAATTGAGAAAAATAATTATAAAAAAGTCAGGGATCTAGGTTCAGAAAATAATTAATTTGAAATTCATGAGAAATGTTAATTTATTCACCCGCAGGTGAAGCCCTTGCGCAAAGCTGTGCACGTTATGTGGCACTTCATGCAGCCCGTTCTCGTTGGCGTTATCGGGGCCGATATCGATCTGCGCAACTGGTCTCCGTCCAGGTTTTGCCTTCACAGCCTCTGCATTATCCTGGGAGCGGTGGTAATTTTTTTTTAGTTTACAACCTTCGTAAGCATCAACTAAATGTATGGTTAATTACCTATAGCATAATTTACACCAAAAAAAAAAAATTTTTTTTAATCCAAATAATACGCAAAAAAAATATTTAATCGAATAAAATGAATATTCAATTAAATCTATTACACATCACATTACCAAGAAGATTTTAATTAATATTATTTTATTTGAATAAATATTTATTATGTTTGATGAATGTTTTTGTTATTGTATAATTCAAATAAACGTTTATTGGGATTGACGAAAACTTTTTTTAAGTGTAATTGACCTACTGACTTTAATCATTAGCTCTTAAATTATTCCAACAAATAGAAATGACACTTTTAGGGGTGACGTAATTTTTCTTCAAATCAAATGTTTTCTGTGCAGGTTCGTATGGTTTTTGCCTATTTAGCTACTCATCACACGCGTTTTAAAGTAAAAGAGCGTATTTTTATCGCACTATCATGGCTTTCAAAGGGTACTCTTCAGGTATGTAATTACGTGATATTTACTAATCTTTTTAAATTTGGTTATTTACCATAATTAATTTACTATAAAAAAAAGTTTAAGTAAATTTAAATTTATTTTCAACTTTTAAAAATTGCTGTTATTTTATTAATACTATAGGTCTTGTGAAATCAAAGGTGATTCGCCAGTCATTGAAACAAATACTACTTTAAAAATATAACTTTTACAATAAATAACTTATTAAACCGAATCATTCGGTCGATACATATTTCTCGTGTACCGTAAAATATATGTAGCAGAGCAATGATTAATTTTATTCATACTTGTTAATCATGCATCGTAAAAAAAGCGTTTTTTTCCTCAGGCAGCTTTAGCGCCAATGGTGTTCGAACAGGCAAAAACTTCAGGTAACCCAGAAGATCTTGATTTAGCCCTGGACATGGTTCGTATGGCAATCATTTCAATTCTATTTTTAGCACCATTGGGTGCAATAATTATGATGGTGACTGGACCACTACTGCTTAATAAGAGTTCAATGGAGGAATATCGTAAACATCGGGAGCAAAGCGTCATCCGCATCATGAGTCTACAACCGATTCGAAGACGACATAATACAACTCGATAAAAAATTCCATATTTACTTGTGACTTACATAAATACGATTATTTTTATCCAATTTAAAAGTTTTTACGGTTTTTTTTTTAACATCTACATAATAAGATTAAAAGATTGTTTAAAAAGTAAGAAAAAGGTGAAGAGAAAAGTATAAAGGAGTTTAATTCTATTTTTGATTTATTCGGTTTATTTCTCTCGCACAATATCACATGTAAAAGACTAAAATCTTAATTAAAAAAAATTTTTTTAACTACTTGTAAAGTATTTACTAATATTTATTTTACATACAGTGCCACGGAACTCCACGGAAATCAAAGTCTAACTCTTTGCTAGATACGCTTATTACAGATGAAAATTGTACTTTCAAAATTGAGATTAAAAATATTTTCTGTATAAACAAGTTTTATCTTAAAATAACGAGACAATTCGAATGTTAAAACCAAGTAAGAACAATATATCGATACAAAAAAAAATCGAACGTGTTCCAAAACTTTTTTTTCAACTGGCCATACATCACAATTAAATGATATAAACAAGCTTGATAAACTTTATAAACCTCTTAAGATTTTTTATTTTTAATTAATTTAATTTCGACTCTAAAGAATGTATTTAGTACTTGAACAAACTTAGTATGCAAAAAATGAAGTAATAATTTTATAAAATATTTGCCGTATGGAAATTTATGTACAAAACTTTTTAAATTTTAGTATAAACAATTTAACCTACATTTTTTTTAATTTTCACTGCAACTTACGTATTGAACCAATATTTTTCTTATTAGAATTTCGACAAATAATTTGTTTATTTCAATGTGTAACAATAAGAGCTATTTGATTTTTAGAACCTTTTCAAGTTAATAATTTTCCGGTTCAACATATTCCATAATCTATACTATACGTAGTTTTATATTTTTGCATCCATATTGTTCCCCTAAAACATGTAACTCTTTATGTTACAATCAACCTTTTAGCGCTTTAATTTTGTTAAAAATTTGTTTGTTTTACAGTACCTAATTTTTCCAAACAACAGTTTTACTTTTATTTTCACGTTATCCAATATAATTTAGATTTTGAAGAATAATGGTGTATTCAAATTTAGGCAAAGCACATTTAATAATAATTTTTTATTCAAAAGAGAATGTGAAGTAGCTGTGAAACGCTCGTCAGCGCAAACAAACTCACTCGTTACTACACATTCATTTTGAAATGAAAATATGTTGTCCTCTTTAATTTGAAAAGCTACTGTAAATTAATTTAAAAAAATATTGAAAAACATTATGAGTACGAATTCATAATCAATAAATCTTTTGTCAAACTCATAGTTACCACGACAAACTTGAAATTCATAAGATTTTATCCCGATAAAATTTACGCATCATTACTACTACTCTATCAATTTAAACTCTTTTACATCGACTTTCCGACGAGTAAATACACTTACCTCGGACGGCTCCTCTCCATAAAAACGTCCTTCAGCGTTATCTCAGTCGTGAGATAATAACTATTGGCAAACTGGAAAACTAGGCCGCTCCTGCCGCTGCATCTTACCCGCGTACGTTTTGTGCATCAGCTGCCTCGTTCTCAAATACAAATGAAAGACAGCTACAAGTTAAAAGGATAGACATTCGAGAGATAAAGTAAATTTTTTCGTTATCTCACCAAAAAAAAAAAAAATCTTCTCGATTTATCTCTTGTCAATCAAACGATAAAGAGATCAGTTAACAGAACCCAAGAAAAAGTTCTGCCCAATTGTAAAATAGTCCCTCTAACGATTCTTTTAAAGCCCTAATTCAACCATTTCGTTCGATAAACATTGTGTTTATTTAATTAGTAAATAAAAAAAATAAAAAATCTAAAAAGGATTACGTTGCGTATACGCATACGACGATTTTCTTCCATACGAATCCACAGGATAAACGACACAGGGAGCGAAGGATGTACACTGAGAGACTCTCTTATTTCTTGACAAGCGTATAACATGCGGTCTGATCGAAATAGCCTTTTTCAATCGTGAAATCCGATCGGAGCCACAGCGTTTCTTTCCTTCTTTTCGTATTTTCTCCTCCACTCCTTTTTATTCCAAAGGACCTTTTTGACGAGCTCTACTGTATATGTATATGTTAACTGCACATCGTTTTTCTATAACTCGCGATACGCTAGATTTATCAATTTATCTGGTCGATCGGGTACAACATGTAATATGCCTTTCCTTTGACAGAGAAGAGACGCTTCGTGCTATATATATATTATAACGTGGGTTCTTTTATTAAACTGCATGTTCAGTATGGATAAATGCAGAGTCAGGATAAGTCCAATGAACATTTATTGAAATCGACGATGCTCAAGTAAACCTCCAAAACTTCAGTAAATGAAGATTTCTGATGATAAAATTGGGACCTTCAAATATACATACATCCATAGCCATAAAAAAGGGGAGGTTTATACGTTCACGCTGCGGCAGAGCAGATGCTGTAACGGCAAGCAAATGGTCACGCTTTATCCTTCGTGGGCAGCGTAACGACCGCAGACTTTGCACGTGTCGCGTCGTTGTTGTCTCAACTTGCATCATGCACAAGATACTTACTTGCCATGAAAAATGGCAAAGGTTTTTCTATAAGCCTACACTGTATCTTGTGTATAAAATACTATACGTGGCTGGAGATGACCCGACAGGACTACCATCGAGCGATGCGGGCTTTCTTTACGATTTCCGGGGTACTCGAGGTACAGCTCTACGTTATAAATGCAAAATTGCCCTCCACTGAAATTTAGATGATGCACGTGCAGTATACGGTGTTTTGTTATTCGAACGAAGTTTATTACATCCAAATAAATAGTATGCTTTAATGCTGTAAAAGTTGTTGATGAAAAGTGTACAATAATTTTTTTATTCAACTGTGTCTACGAACTGAAACTTGTTGCAATCTGACTTTGAAATGTAAAAAATGCTTCGAGCGTTATTACTAGAATTCAAAACTTTAATATCAAACGTATACTCTTCTGAAGTACGTTGTACATAGAAAGTGGTATTTTTTTCAACCCTTAAATTTGGAAATTTGAATGATATTACAAATAATAACGTACATCACAAAAATAGTGTACATTTTTTTTCTCGTTTCCTGACAACTTTTTTCATTAGCAAGCATCTCAACAAACTCTAATTTCTCATCGCTAGAGGGAAAAATAAATTTTTTACTATTTTCATTAGTTTTTGTTATCCCATGAAAAAAAAGCCCTGCAATTTTTATTAAGTTAATTTATGTACCCAAACTGATTCGCCATAAATCTTAATAGCGTATTTAATAACTAACTGCAATATTATTATTGGTATGTAATTAAATGAAAAGCAATGAATGACACAAAAAAACGTACAATTGAAATGAGTAACTTCAGTGACCTATAAATTTCCAAGTGACGATTAATAAAAACCAGACTTTCAACTCATGCAAAGAATAACCCACCAAAAGCAATCGAGATTCCCTAAAAAAGTATAATTTCGAGAGTCATTCAAGTACAAGATCTACATTCGACGCGTCAACAAAGGCAAAAAACCTCGCGTGCCATTGGCATGCGAGCACGTAAGTGTATACGTTTTCTTGCTATCGCAGCATAAAAAAAAAGGGGGGGGGAAAGAAGCACACGAGATAAACATCGGTTCAAGATCGAGAGCACAACGAAACCTCCCCCAGTGCTCGTGTTAATACCCCACCCTCCTTCGTGCACGTGCATCCCTTGGACCACAAGTTGTCGTCGACGTGTCATTTGCAGGAAAGTGACAGCCACCCATCCGTGCCCGAAAAAAAAAAAAAAAAAAAAATCAAGCTGACATCGAGGAAAAAAGCAAAAAAGGAAGGGCTGGAGGGCTGCCGACAACAGATCGCGTCGATATGATTCGTGTACGCACACGACGCCAGGGACTCCCAGAAGGGTCGATCACTTTTTTTCTTTTTTTTTTCGCAATCGTCCTCCATGGCTACGATTATCCCGTGCTCCACCCCCCTGCCGAAGCGCGTGCGTTATTAGGAGCGAAGACAAAAAAAAAGTGTACGATAACGGCGGTGGTGGAGAGCAGAGAGACGGGGGACGGGTGAATGAGGGAAAAAAAAAAAAAAAATAGGGGAGATCGCGGCTGTGCGGGGGTATATACAGCTTGCGTTGCAGTGCGTTTCGCGCGAGGGCTACAAGTTGCAGGCCTTGATTGGCCCTTGTTGTTGGGGGAGGTTGCGTGGATGCACGCGATGAGAGGGGCCGATGAGGGGTTTCCTTTCTTTTCGATCCTTTCTTCTCCCCCCCCCCCCCCCCTTCGCCTTTTTACCCGTCGTGGAAGCCTTGATGAGCTGTAATTTGCTTCTCGTATTCCGTTATTCGGTTGCACTTTCTTTCTTTAGTTTTCAACTCGTACGGGCTGAAGTTCGAGCGAATTAACTTTTTTTTTTTTTTCTACTTTGCTCCTCCTTGGAGATAGGCGTTTCATCTGGAGATATTGATGGAAACGCTCATAATGTGGAACGTCTGGAAAAGTATTTTTCAATTCTAAATTGTGTGCTTTACAAAAGTTACCTGAGTTTGTCTGATTACGTGCGCAAGGATCGATTCGTCGGTTTATGGGTGGCAAATGACAGGGAAGTAATTCTTACCGCAATTGGAACTAAATCTTTTGTAGATAATCCTGTGTTTATTTCCAACGCATAACATGAGACTGTTTTTGATAGCAATGTGAACTTATTTTTGTCACTTCATTAAAAAAAAAAACCCTTGAATCCCATAAAGTAGTGCTTTGATGCATCCTGATCTCCGGTGCATTAATTACTTTCTTCGATTCGTTTATCTTCTCTCAGTTATGTGTATAAAAACGTTATTGTTACTCGTTTGCATAAGTTGTGACGCATTTCGAGCGATCGTAAAAGTTGAGCATCATTTGGCATACGTGCAACTTGAATGGCTGACCGAATACGTCATCGGGACATACGTTAAGGGTTCAGCCCTGGAATTCAAGCTTACGAAATGTGAT